ATCTCTCATCCACACACAATGATAGAAATAGCTACAATGCTAAGGTCAAACGAGTTTTAGATACTTATTTTCGGTTCCCTTTGAACCTTACTTTAATGTATTGTGATTACACTCTTTCGTTAAGGACGTATATATTAGCAGTACTGTAGAATTGACAAATTGAATCATATGATATAGAATTTTCAATTTACAATATACGAAAGTTCTTCATGTTTTACATTTTTATCCTGTAGGTATTGCACTAACAGCTTTTGTCTTCAATTTGAAATAGAAAATTAGTTATCTAATTTACTTTAAATATAAAACTTCATATTTAGCTACTACGACAACAACATCCACAGCAGCACAATGTTATTCGTATACAACCATCAATGATGTAACACGTCTGGCAACAGCCGGAAGTGGATCTACAACCGATTATGGTTTGTTTTCAACTGGTACTTGGGTTCGTTTTTCTGGTGCAGGTGGCACTCAAATAACAACATCATCACCGGGTCTATATCATTGTACTACATATTATTCTGGTTGGTACTCGGGCTCACTACCTTCGTCTGGTGAAACGGTTAATGGCACAGTATGTTATACATATAGTTCATCTTCATGTTATTATGCCAATATAATATCAGTAACAAATTGTGGTTCCTTTTATGTCTATGATCTTGTTAATCCACCCGTTTCCAATTCGCGTTATTGTACTGTTTAAGTAAAATAAATAAAATCGATATTATCTTTTTTGTGTCATTTGATTTAATTCTTTCGAGGGTGTCGGTGTGGACGAGATATGGATATGTTATGCACGGTATTCTTAACTAATTTGAAAAATATTTTATCTTATATAATAATTGAAGCCAACAAAGTTTGAGGGCGTGGGTGTGGGTGTGTATCGAAAAGAAAGGAGAAAATGAAAGAATGTGAAACATATAATTGATCAGCGACGTTTATCAATAATGAATAGCAATGAACGATGATGCGATCAGAGACAGAAATGCACAATATATCTAATTACTAACACATTCTCATATCTAACAACTTCATTCATCTATTGACTATTTTTATCGATAAAACTTTTTCGTAATATGAACATGTTTTTTTGTAAGAGTTATATATAATATATTTAGGAGAGTCGATCCACAATTTATAAACTATATACCAGCTTTTGTTAATACAAGAGAGTGTCCATGTCGTACAGATCTTGGAACGATTGAACCACTTGACTATTCATTCAATTATTCTATTGATGAAAAATTTTCAGTTATTGATTTAGACACTAATACAACTTCTATCGAGTAAGAGATCTTACTTTTCATCATTTGCTTCTCGAATCTACGTTAAATTTTAGAAAACATTATATATGTGAAGCACCTCGGATAGTAGAAACAATAAAAATTTTACATAAACCACCATTCGTTGCTGTAGATGTCGGAAGATATTCATCATCTATGGCAGAATTACCTGATCCATTATTCATTGGCAATTACAAGTAAGTTGTCTTATATTCTTTACACAAGCGATTTAAATTTGCTTTACATTTAGTTATCGTCTCTCCGTCAATATAAATAATAGAAATGAACATTTTACAGTCATCATTAAATCAAATGATAATTGTTTTTATCATTTTGATGATACGAATCGTCTTGGCTGTGTTGAGTGTGGGTGAGGGTGTTCACGTCATTATTACTCATACTCACACAACACCCACACCCACACCCACACCCTCAAGAGCTTTTAAACGTAATTCAGGATTACATTGACGTAGTTGTTCTTTACCTAATGGATGCATATCAATATTGAAGATTAATACATCAGATAAAGGTGTTTTTCATGCGATTATTTGAGGACTTTGTGGCATATAACGTACACGATTAACTTTACCTTCATGATTGATTTTTAAATCGACTTCAATTCGACTATCAATTAAACCGAAACCACCCAATTCAGCTTCTTCATTCTTATAACGTGAACTATCTCATTCAAGATCTTCTTTTGGTAAGTTAATACTAGCAATAATAACATGATTTTGTTCATTGGATGTATGAGCACCAAGAACTAAACGATGTGTACTAAAATCTCAACCTTCTTCATTAAAATTAGAAGAGAAAAATTTTGAATTTAACGATGAAAAGTAAATGACATACCTTCGTGTATGAGGTGACCGATGAGTGGTTAAACTAGGCAATTCAAGTTCATCAGTCATGACGAAATTATAAAGAAATGGTGCATTATTTTTCGATATTCTATATTCTTCGACATTATTGTTAAATTCACTTATGAATAGGTAAAGATAGATTAGAGAAAGTTTTTTAACATTTTTTTCCCTATCTCCATTCTCAGGACAGAACTATCCAAATACGATCGATTAATTAATTGTGCATCATTCGAAAAAATCTGTATTTATTACGATCAATGTCTTCAAAGCGGACATCAACGAAGAAAAAAGAAAATTCGACAAGTTTACCCAGGACGATGAGTCCTGACGCAGTATTCCGCGGATTTCCAGCGAAAATCGTGAAAAAACTGGCAAACTTCGGTAGGAATTCGCTGAAAGAAACTAGAAATCCGATACAAATATTTGGCGACCGAATTCAGTTGCCGGTTTGCCATTCTTGAGGCTGTGGATGTGGGCGTGACTAAGACTAACGAAAATCTTACGGACACCCGACAGCTTCACCCAAACCATACCACACACCTACACTTTAACAGCAAATCCTGGACCATTATTAAAAATGAATTATCTGGCTTTCAATCAATTCACATGAATGAACTCTTAAACCAGTTTAATTATGATTTATTGGTCGACAATGCACACTATACAAAAAAATCAGTTAATGGATTATATTTCAAAAGTTCAACATTAATTGTTCGTCTTTTATTTACTCTTTTATTTTATTTCATGGATGTTAACTTTTAATAAAAAGTATTCTTTTTTTGTACATGTGATTATATTACGATTTTTTGTTGTTCAACTAGTAAGACAAAACTGGGGTGTCGGTATGAATGTGAGCATAGATCACAGTTAAACGTGAATGCCACTCACACCCACACTCTTTATCCATATTTTGTATTATTCGTTGATTAGTTTTTCATCGATATTATTATCAAATTTACCTATTAATAAATAAAAATGGATCAAAGAAAGTTTCTGAACAAAAATTAAATTAAAGTCATGTTCCTCACTCTGCCCGAAAAAAACATTTCTCTACGATATATATAACCTGAGTTATAAAGAAATTAAAAAACATGTTTTTACCGGCAGAATGAGGTACATGACTCTGTCATTGGATCCTTACTCACCAAGCTTTTCATTTAAATCTTTTATACTGGCACCTAAAGTAACAGATTGATGTTTTTTGTCCATCAATTCATTCTGAAATTTATAAAAAAAATTAGTTTTTTAATTTTCTGTAAAATATAATCCTTACTTTAATCGAGATCATTACATCGGTTTTTTTTATTACTTGAATAGTATTATTTATTCCATTGTATGTAACTATAATTGAGTAATTAAATCCACTTGTATATCTTCCAGTTTCAGCAAGTATTTGGAAGTTCATAAATTCCAAAAATATCTTTAAATTTGTTAGTAATTGATCAAACAGAATTTTATTATTCATTTTAAAATCTAAAAATATGAAATCTTTTTCATGAACTATTGTATATAATTAAAAGCAAACTAATACGATACAGAACATATCATGTAATGCAAAAAGTATTTATCTCAACTCTACACTCATCGCTTTCTACATTCATGTATCACTAACAAACATGATTTTACTTTTATACAATGAAAACAATGCATAACACTTTTTCTCTTTCAAATATCGTCCACAGTATCTATGATGTCATTGTCATATAGATTCAAGAGAGTGATCATCTGTATGAAATGAAAATAAAGAATCACTCTTTGCCTAACGACATCTATTGTATCAAATTTCATAGATTTATATATAAATCTAAAAGATATTTTCCATATAAAAAATTTTAAAATAGAATTCAATTTTCTAAAGTTTCTTTAAATTTATTTTCTGTTGGTTTCCATCCTATACGTCTATTTGTTTGCTATCTTCATCATCATCATTATTTCATTTAACAAGCAAACGTTATGTCATTATTCACTCATCAACGTCAACTTTTTCTACGTCAATTAAGTCAGACATGTCCTTCTGACAACACATTTCTGAAAACTTATCTTTCTAATTATTCCGAATTAATATCTCCATCCTACAAAAAAACGCGTGATCCATTAGCAATGAAAGAACTTTCATTAAAATGTCCTTCATGTTCTCATTCCTATTCGTGTAATTCTTTTCATTATCGTGGAAAACTTCCTATCAATCGACGTTTACATTATCTTCTATCTATTCGTCGTAAATATAAACGAATCCCAACACCGAATACATATAAACGTCGTTTATTAGATAATTTTACTAATAAATCTCGTTCAAAATTATTCATTAAATGTACACAATGTAATGAAATAAGAACATTTCAAGGAGCAACAAGAAAAGAAATTCCAAATAGAATCATTAATAAAATTGAACCACCAAAACCAAAACCACAACCAAACACTCTTTCTAATAATATTAAATTAAAACAAACATTTGAAAAAGTTTCTTGTCGTTTTCTAAAAAAAGAAAGCAATCTTCGAGCATTTCTTGAACAACTTTAAGTTATGCAAAAAAAAACAAAGATTTGTTTCATTTCAGATTCAATGTCGGATTCTAATGAACCACTTACAGCCGAACAACTCGAACGTATTGAACGTAATCGTCAACGTGCACTTCAACTTCGTGCAAGTTCAACAAAAACTTATCAAACACAAACAGAAAAAAAAATTATTAATCCTACTCCAACTCGTAAACAAAATATTGATTCTCATGCTGGATTTTTTCTTGATGAAGATCCAAAATCAGTTGATAATCGTCCTGTTACTTATGAAACAGTTCCTATTATTCATCAAACCAAACCCGATCAATTAGATACACTTGGCATGCCATGTAATGAATGTGAAATGATATTTTTAACATCTTATTTACATAAAAATTTTGCTGAACCTATTTGTGATACATGTCGAGAGAGATATTCAATAAATGATGAAAAAGATGATATTGATGATGAAAAAACAATACGTTATAGTTTAATAACACGTACATCAGCTAAAGATAAATATTTATTAACTGATTATGATCTTGATAAACGTGAACCATTATTAAAATGTATTGAAAAGAAAAATCCACATAATCAACGTTGGGGTACAATGCGTCTTTATCTTCGTTGTCAAATTCAACGTCTAAGTGATACAATACATGAAGGAAAAACTGAAGAAAAAGTTCTTGAACGTGAAGAAAAAAAATCCGAAAACAAACGAAAAAAATACGAAAAACAAATTGAACAATTACGTTTAGATGTACGATCAAGTTTACAAAAAAAACGAATTAAAACTGTACATGAACATATTTATGATGAAAAAAATATAAAATATGATGTAGATAAAGATTTATATACAAAAACATGTACAGAATGTGGATATCAATATGAATATGAAGAAATGTAAGACAATTAGCATTTATTTTTATAATTATTATTCTTGCGTTAATCAGATATTAATTTTTGTATAAAAGAAATATTTTTGTTGTTATTGGTTTAATAAATCGAGATATATATATATTGCTTAATATCTTAGTAGTTTTTTTCATAGAAACTGAAAATAATGGTCAAACTAGTGAGCAGCAGAAATAAATAATAGGTCTATGATGATAAAGTCAGTTAACCTGCTACTTTATTATTCTCAAAGAGCCTAAAACAGACATTCATTGCGGAAAATTTTACCAAGTACAGTAAAAATCTATTTGTCTTTTTGTTAATTTTAATTGAGTCATACCATATAGTATTACTATTAAATGTCATACAGCGACTTAGTATAAAATTACAAAAGTAACTATTTTCATAAAATTTTTATTCCTGACTTTTGATCTCAGTTCGTTTTATACATTTGTTGCTTCGTAAACTAAAATGATTAAATATTTTTATTATTTTCTAGATGATCACAAACATTAATTGAAAACAAATTATCGATTATTTAAGTATGTTTTACAACAAAGGTATTTAAAAAAGTTGATTGATTAAACAAAAGGTTTGCTTATTTTGATTACTTCTTAGTTTTTTGAGACAATTTATGTCTCTTCAGAACTGATATTAAATTTAAAATAGGTTTTTCTCTAGAGGTTAAGAAAACCTATCTTATGTACTTACATTACATATTATTTATTATTTTTATGTAAGAAAAAAAATCCTTTGAGATTTTCTACAAGTGCATCCTGTATTTATATGGCTCTATTAGTAATATGTTACCATTCTTTAGTGACATCTGCAATTAAAATAAATCGATCCAAAAAAGAGAATCATCATATTTACTATCTAATCATATCGTGTCTTTACAAAACATAATCAACATAAAGAAGACTTAAGTAATGCAATTTGAATCTTTGTTTTAGATAGATCTTTTTAACACGAGAACGTTAAAAATTTGAATAAAACCATCAAATATGATGGAAAGTGGAGATTATAATTCTATGGGTTCAAATCGTACAACTAATGATGATCAACAACAACAACAACAACAACAACATGATGGTAGAAGAAATCGCAGAGTTGATTATCGTTTTTTAATTCCATCTCGCGATGCTGGAGGTTTGAATTTTTTTTAATGTTACAAAAAAAAATGAACTAAATTTCTTATTTATAGCCATTATTGGTAAAGGTGGTAAAACAATTCAAGATCTTCGCTTGAAACATCGTTGTCAAATTCAAATGGCTGATTGTGAATCACCTGAACGTGTTTTAATTATTAATGGTGATCAAACCGATGTACTTAATTGTATATCAGATATACTTTTAAGTATTTATGAAAATCATCAACGATCAACAAAATCTGATCAAAGTGAAATTCGTGCATTGATTCATCAATCACAAGCAGGAGCATTAATTGGTAAAGGCGCATCAAGAGTTAAAGAATTTCGAGAAAAACGTAAGTTGAAATGACAGGTAGAATATATTTTTGAAAATAATAATAAACAGTCTTGATTTAGATAATATCGATGTGAAAATTTATCCACAATGTTGTCCTGGTGGTTCAACAGAACGATGTAAGAGAAAAAAACAAAAATGTTTTTTTTGTCTATATAAAATAAAATTATTTTATAGGTATTTCAATGCGAGGAAATAAAGATGATGTTATAAGTTGTTTAACTGAAGTTTATAGTGTACTTGAAGGTGTACCACCACGCGGTCCATATCGTTATTATGATGCATCAACTTATAATGGTTATAATGTTTCGGATTATGGAGGCTATTCAGACAATCAACAACATCCACGTGGAAATAATCAGTAAGATAAATCATCTATTGAATTGAAATCGAAAATTTTTCTTTCCATAAATATAGTTATGCACAACCTCAAGGTTATTCACAACAATATGGTGGCGGATATAATCCATTACTTCAACAAACTGGACCAGTAACTACAACACAAGTAACCATTCCAACAGAATTAGCTGGTAAATGAGCTAGTTAAATTCTATATACAGAAATCTCATGAATATTTTTAGGTATCGTAATTGGAGCGAAAGGTTCGAAAATATCACAAGTTCGTCAAGAATCAGGAGCTTCAATAAAAATTGATTCTGAACCAATGCCAGGCACCAATGATAGATTAATAACAATAACAGGTAATCCAAATCAAATTCAACAAGCACAATTTCTTCTTCAACAAGCTGTTCGACAATCGGGATTATGGAATCAATAATTATATTAACTAAAACATGTTTATGATCATGGTGACAAATCCTGTGAGAGAAACAGATCGTTTCATTTTTTTTTCTTGTTCGTTTTTTAATGCGATTGATTGCGCGTATGTTCTTCCGTTCTTGTTTACGTACGAAGAATAAAGAAAAGAACGAAATATATATAAAAATATGTCATTTTACTCTCTAACACGCACCTATGAAATGATTACGTAAGTTTTTCATGAATTTAAACTAATCTAATTATTGACATTCTGTCAATTAAAATGTCATTTTGGACAGACATATAATGAATTCAAGAATTTGATGTTGACTACACGAACTCTATGATTTGTAGAATTCATTTTCAAAGTAAAATTAATCACTTATGTAACAGAAATTATTCATCTGGAATGTGCCCTCTATACATCATCTTGTCTAGCTCAATCCTTGCTTGAACGTCCAATATTAAAAATCTTTTCAAGCATGTTTCTGACGCATAACTTATTATTCAAGCGTACTGCAATATTCCAATTTCACAATGGTTAGATAATGAAATTTTTTTTTTCTTCAAACATACACACCAATCGTTTTTATTTATATACAAAATCGGAAAAAAATTTACAAACAGAATATATGAATACGGGTAAAACGAAAGAAGCAACTGATTGTGAATGCCAAAAACGTTTGTTTGTACAAAAAAAAAGAAAGAACGAAAAACCAGCGATCATCATCACTACAGCAAAAAAACGAAAGAAAAAACACACCGGACTACACGAAAGTTTCCTTTTTTCACACTATGGTTAAAGTCACCGGAAAACATTTGAAAGAAAAAAAGAATGAAACGGTTAACTATACTAATTTTCTCACACGGATATCGTATAGATATGTACACAAGTGTTGATATGTCTTTTTATGTATTAAGACTGTAACTGCGTTGTTGTTTGGGAGTATATAAAAGTTCCATATCGTTTATAATTGTTTGAACAAAACCATCAGAATTTCCAGCTACTGGTTGATCTAAAATAAAAATATCAATAATAGAATATTGAAAAAATCGTTTAATATAGAAATTTATACTGTATTTATTAGCAATAAGTTGATCGAATGCAGCTTCGAGTGAACTATTTGGTGATGAAGATGGTGAAGTAAGTTGACCCTGTTGATATCGTTTGAGAATAATTAATTTTGTCGATGCAATTATATCGATTAATGATTCTAAAATTTAAGAAAAAAAACAATATTTTTCTAGATTTTCTCAATCCCTTGATAACAGGATATTAGAAAAAAAAACATTTGGCTTCAAGCCAAAAACATTCTACAGAACGAATAGCTGATAAGAAAGAATCATAGACCTTAAAGTACAACTCGTTTCTTTTTCTTCTCTCTTCTCTTCTGCCAAACAAAACAACACAGAAAAGAAAAGAAAATATGAGGACATACTGTGTTCTTCATTGAGACCATGTAGTTTAACTTTATTTGCTTCATGTTGAGCTTTTTTACGAAGTCGACATGCTCTAAATTAATAATTAAAAATAATAATTCGTTTTTTTTTAATATAAATACAAACCTGCTAGCAATTTTATTCTTTTCTTTTTTAACTTCTGCTGTATCATTATTATTTGTATGTGGATCAGCATGATAAATTCCATGATAAACAGATGATGAATTATTTGAAAGATCACGAATTTGTTTTCCAAGTTCGTAAAGTTTCATTGGATTTGGTGTAACATCATTTCCATCACCTTTACGAAGTTTATTAAATGTTTGTCCTTTTGTTTGAGTTAATTTTATTTGATAAACAGGATCACTAAATTCACGATGTAAATGTGGATCACGTTCTTTTAAATAAAGTATTCGTTTAGTTTTTGGTCCTTTTGATTGGACATTATATTGCCAAAAAAGTGATGATGATGGATGTGCTCCAGATGGTTTTGTACTTGTTGATACAGTTGTTTCATCATCATCATCATCATCTGAAGTTAGATTATTATCATCATCTTGTATATGATCAGAAGAATTTTGTTCATAATCTGACCAAAGTTCAGTCTCACTGTGTTGTTCGATAGTACAACTTGGACTACTTGGATCATCTAAATAAAATTATAAAAAAAATAAATAAATTTTTTCTTTTCTTATGAATTTTACCTTTGATTTCTTCAACAGGAAAATCAACTAATGATGGACGTTTGCGAGTTGGAGGTGTTGAATCTTCATTTGTCGATTGATTAATTGAATATAATGTTTGTGGTTGAAATTTAGTTTCATTTGGAAATCTAGTTTGTCGACGATAATGAAAATTCGATGAACCATTAAATGATGATGATAGATTCGATTTTAATCGAAGTCGTTGTTGTTGATTTTCAACTTCAGAAAATGAATTTGATGATGGTCGAGGACACCAAGCCGAATTCGATGAGACATCTGTTGAAACTGTTAATGATGCTGGTTTATTTTGATACGATGGAAGATTAACATAATTTGGACTTTTAAAACGATTTGGGTCGAATATAGTAAGATCTACATATACAATTTTAATAATTAAATTATTATTAAGCATCAAAAATATATTTCTTCTTAAGAATCTATTAGATTATTTCATTTGATAACTCAGTAATTTAATTGATGAGATTCTTATAATAGAAAACATGCGTAAACTTTGAACTTGAAACTTTTTAAAAATGTACTACAACAGTAACTACTTCAATCTTAAGAGGTTAAAAAACAAATTATTCTTAATCATGAATAGTATATTCATGTTGTATTGTTCTAAAAATGCCCTAAGTTCTGTTGAATGACGTCATTTATTTAATAGTGTATTAATTACCTAATTTATTATGTTGATGTAATGATGATGGTCCATCATTCATACTAGCCGATCGAAAACGTTTTACATCCGATTGACCATTTGTATTACTTTGTAATTCATTAGGATACGATGTACCAAAAATAGAATTATCTTGTTGTTGAACAAATAGTGGTAGATGTAAATTATTTGATTGAATATAATGATTATTTAAACTTAATGTTGTAAATTTAGGACTTATACCTAATGATGAATATGCAGATGTTGTTGTTGAACGTGAATTATTATTATTATTCATTGAAAATGCTGTCGATGTTGATGTGAGTTCATTTATATTCAATGGTTCAGTAAAATTTGATGTTGCTATTGATGATGATGAAGGATTTTCAAGTAGATCAGATATTGAATCTAAATCAAGGTCGAGTGGTGGGACGGATAAAGAATCATCAAGTAATATAACATCTTCATGTTCATGTTTCATGATTTCATCAATTTCATCGATTTCATCACAAAAATTATTTGTTGATAATGTTTGGTCAGACCAATCGATCATTGTACGATCTTTTTTAAATAATTAAAATAAATACTTAAAAATAAATAAATAAAAAAAATCTATATAGATATACTTGGAGTATACATTGAGGATAAATCGTGTGTTTGACTAAATCCAAGCATAGTAATCTACAAAATATGTACTCTACAAGATCAAAAAAAAAATCTTTATCATGATAAGCAAAATAAATTTTTTTATAGTACAAAAAAGAAATAAAAGAAAAAGAACAAAAAGAAAAAAAACTCAATGATATATTTGAATACAAACTTATTTTTATGCTCAGTAGAAATTACCATATTATTATCAACGTTAATTAAATAAGGAAAATAATATGCGAGGAGTATAACATTCTTTACTATTCTCGAATAATTAAAAGAACAAAAAAAGAAAAAAGTGCATAACAAGTTCAGTCATCTATATATTTATTAATAGAAACAAAATATTTATTTGTATAAATTATCAATGAAGTTCATCAAAGGTTATACAATAATACAATAACTACTAACCAATCGTATAGTAATCTATTGATTTTGTTTTTCTTTCTTTTTGTCAGTACGAGGTTGTTAGAGTCCTTTTCAAGCATGCATACATGCGCCCATGTATGTGTATTTGTTCTTTGAGATAGAAAAAAAGGCAAAAAAGAACGGGTTACTTATGAAGAACGAAAGAAACAAACAAAAAAAAATGAGAACTATTTGTTTTCTATCACCCCAATTCTTTGTCTTCCTCTATACTTAAACTGACTGAATAATATGCTATAAAATACTCTCACATAGTCACGAGAATACAACAAAAATACTAATTCTTACACTTATTCTTTTAAAAAGTAAATTATACAATTATTGTCTTCTTAACTTCTTGCTTCTTTCTACAATTAATTTATCGCCAATCATATCAAATGTACTCGAAAACATCCTATATATTCTACTAAATAGAAAAGAAAAAAAAGAAAATAACATGCAACTGACGATACTCTAAGTTACTCATGTCGTTTGATATTATTTATTACTTATAACGATTCTGTTCTCTTCTCTTTTTCTGATGCTACGACAAGGCTACCGAGTGCACAAAAACATCAAAAAAGTTCTATGTATTGGATATTCTCCAATTGTATATCTTAGGAATGAATAAAAAAAGAAACACCTGTATACAGATAAAGAGCAAATGTACTGTTATTGCTATTATCACGAGTAAAACATTATTTACTCTATAATCAAAGAATGTGAGATAGGATGCTTTTTTTGTAGAAAAGGAAGAGAAACAGGATATGCATGCCCTTTTTTTTGTCTCTCTATATCTGATTGTATTGTGTTTACTTAAACGAGTGATAAAGGAGGTGTGGCTGAATAAGCTTAAAATATTTCTGATGATAAAATAAAATAAAAGAAGCCTCGCCTCGACTCGAAGATTCCAAAGAACATATTCTTTCATCCATGATCGTATCTTATTAGTTCACTCCTCGATCAATGATGAGATAATGGAGGTTAATAGGTTAAAAAACAAAATGGCTAAACTTTGTTCTCATTCGTTTATTTCTTTATGTCGCTATAATCAATAGAAATATTTCAATATACATAGCGCTTCTTTCTAACAATCAATTTCAGCATGTAAGTATCATGCTTACTTTAAAAGATCATCGTTTATTCTTTCTTTCTTAGTGACAAATTTGTAAAACAAAATTTAATCATATAGAAGGATACATTGTATTCAAACCAACTCGATCATATGAACCCAACTTCTGCCAATAGTGGCAGTCTGGTATGTAATTTCCAAGTAAAATGCTTTTAAAAATAATTCATTTTGTTTTTCATTTAGGGTTTAAATACCATTGTTTCAACACTTGTTCAAAATTCATCCACGTAAGAATTCAATTTATTTCAATAGAAGTAAAGTTTATCCTTCATTATTTCTAGTCGACCACCATCAACAACTATTGTTTCCAATATACAAAACGCTTCATCGCCTGTAAATCTTTTTACTAATTTACCTGGTGGTCTTTTTGCACCAAACAACAATAATAATAATAATAATAGTATCAATTCATCAACTGCCAATCAAGGGCAATTAACATCATCAGTAATTTGAAAAATCTATCTTTTTTTATCTTTACGAAATATTTTCTTTTCTCTCTATAGCGCCTTAAAGTGGAGGATGCACTCAATTATCTCGATAAGGTGAAGAACCAATTTGCGCTTCAACCGCAAGTATACAATCAATTTTTGGATATTATGAAAGAGTTTAAATCACAAAGGTTAGTCATTTTTAAAATCGAGAGATATATTTAAATTTGCTTTCTATAGTATTGATACACAAGAAGTTATCAATCGTGTATCAACACTCTTTCATGGTCATCCAGATTTGATTGTTGGTTTTAACACCTTTTTACCACCAGGTTATAAAATTGAAGTTAGTGAAGAACATCATGGTTACATTCAAGTAACACATCCATCATCACGAACAGAATCAATTGCAATTGGAGGACCTTCAAATACAACATATAATCTATCAATAACAACTCCAACAACAACATATCGACAAACAGCAAATTTATTGAGTCAAGATAATGACGAAACAGATCTTATACAACAGCAACAACAATTACAATTAGCAAATAATGCAACATCACAAGCTGTTAATGCTTTAATATCCGCTGCTACTGCACCACAAGTCCCATTTTTCGGTACAACAGGAGGTTTAAATTTATCAACGAAAAATAATAAACAACCAACAACAAATGTAAGTTCTTCAACACAAGCTACAGCAGTTGAAAAAACGTCAAGTGGACAACCCGTAGAATTTAATCATGCGATAAATTATGTTAATAAAATCAAAAATCGTTTTCATCAGTAAGTTGTTTGTTTTGCATGTTCATGTTCTTGAGTTTAAGCGAATAACAATCTTATTCTAATTGTTTATAGAAGTTCGAATCTAAAGTAATATATGATCTGGAAAGCGATAGAAAGATTATATTGATAAAAATATAATAGATATACTGACAATATCTGGTAGATTACAATGAATTGTTTAATAACGTTTTTTTTGTGTACTTATACTACATATTACAGAGCAAATGAATATATAGCATAATCGATGTTGTAGAGCATATCTTATTGTTTCCATTTATTGATAGAAAAATACGATGATGTACTAGCTTCATAGTACGACAGTTTATATATATCTTTCATTTCAGGAGTCCAAATATCTATAAAACATTCCTTGAAATTCTTCATACATATCAAAAGCAACAAAAAGATGCGAAAGAAATTCCTTCTGGTAATCTAGCACTCAATACTGTCGCATCACTATCAACTGGAATTGGTAATCAATCAACATTATTATCTGAAACTGAAGTTTATGCTAAAGTTGCACAATTATTTACTAATCACGAAGATCTTCTTGCTGAATTCAGTCAATTTTTACCAGATGCTACACAACAACCAACAGTAAATATTAACTAAATAAATAAACTTTATTTTTTTTATTTTTTTTCAAAGGAACGTACAAATTCCATATCTGATATTCTTTCATCATCTGGTAGTTCAACTCCACCAATGTTTTCATCTCAAACAAGTTCAATTTCTAATACAACAACAACAAATACAACTCCAATTGTAACTAATCCAACACCACGTTTAATAATTAATAATCCTGTTTCATCATCAATAACAACAACATCAACTTCTTCATCGTTTTTAACAATCAATAATAATTCAAATACATCTCCATTATCATCATTAGCAATGTTATCAACAGCACCATCATTTACTGTTTTAACATCAGTTAAAGATGAATTAACACGTCCACCATCACCAAAACGAACAGCAACAACAGCAACAGCAACAACAACGCCAACAACAAGTGCATCAACTAGTACGAATAATCTTTCAAATAAACGAGCTGCTTCAGCATCAAAATCTCCAGCAGCAACAATTCCTACTACATCATCAACATCGATGGCAACAACACCAACAATGGCAACTAAGAAAAAACGTTTAACAATGACAAATAATATTCAACCAATATCACCTACTATTAGACATACAAGTACAGTTGAAGTAACTACAGGACAAAATAGAAAAGCAACATCAGTCGATGATATGATGTTTTTTGAAAAAGTAATTCTTTATTTTCTATTTAATTAATTTTTTCTATTCGAATTTTTTTATTTCAAGGTACAAAAAACACTTCGAAGTTCATTAGTATTTGATAATTTTTTACGTTGTATTTTACTTTATACAAAACGAATTATATCTCGTAATGAATTATTTGAACTTATACAATCCTATTTAAGGTAAAACAACGAATTTTATATTTGACAAAAAAAAAAGAAATCTTATTATTTTTTTAGTCATGTACCTGATCTATTAAAAACATTTCAAGAATTAATTAATCAACGTGAACCAGGAGATATTATTATTCCTAAAAGTATCTATGATCAACATGATACAGATAGTATGATTAGTATTGGTAAGTTTTTATCAACACAAAATAAACTTAATATTGATATAATCTTATTTTAGACTATGGTTCATGTTCTCAATATGGAACAAGTTATCGTTCAGTACCACGTTCTTATATTCCTCCGTCGTGTAGTGGTCGAACACAATTATGTAAAGAAGTTCTCAATGATCATTGTGTATTATTTCCAACATTTACTGATGAATCTTCATCTGTTGCATCGAAAAAAAGTGTTTTTGAAGAACATATGTATAAAATTGAAGATGAACGTTTTGAACTTGATATTGTTATGGAAGTGAATTTAAGCGCAATACGCGCATTAGAAAGTGTACAATTACATATGAATTCTTTAACAACAGATCAATTACATCATTTTCAATTAGATGATCAATTAGGTGGACAATCAAGTGTTATACAAAAACAAGCTGTACAAAGAATTTATGGTGAACGTGCTAATGAAATTATTGATGGTTTAAAAAGAAATCCACGTATTGCAGTACCAATTGTTCTTAAACGGTTAGTTAAAATTTGAAGTTTTATTTATTATTTGTTGTTGTTATTCTAAAGATTAAAAGCAAAAGATGAAGAATGGCGTGAAGCAAAAAAGAATTTTGAACGTTTTTGGAAAGAACAAAGTGAAAAATATTATTTGAAATCATTAGATTATATGGGAATTAATTGTAAAAATTCTGATATAAGAATAATTCGTAATCGATATTTATTAAATGAAATTGAAAATCTAAAAGAAGAAGTATGAATAAAACAAATGTATATTTCATTCATTGAATATTTCTTTTTAATTAGCGTGATCAACATATTCCATTAAATATAAATCAACCACATTTAGCATTTCGTTATGATGATTTATCAATACTTGATGATGCTGCATCCTTAATTGTTTTTCTCGTTAAACGTCAAATGGCATTTGGAAAAGAAGATAAACAAAATATTAAGAAAATGATTTATCAATTTTTACCAGATTTTCTTTTTACACCAAGAGGAGAACTTAGCGATGATGAAGAAGGTAAATCAATCGGTATTGTTTAAGAATAAGAAAGAAAATAAGACTTTTCATTTGCATTCTACAGATGATGAGGAAGATGAAAGTAAACGTGATAAAAAATCTCGACCAGCACGTCATACAGATACAAATCGACGACGTAATACAGAATCATCAACAACTAAGCCTCGTCAAATTGCACAAGAATATCAAAAACCAGTACATATATATATTTCTTTATCTTAAATTGATTGTATTATCTTTTTTTTGCTCTTAAATTAGGATGATATGTTTCATTTATTTTTTGTTAATGATAATTATTATTTTTTCTTTCGTCTTCATCAATTATTATGTGATCGTTTATTAAAAATGTTTCAACAATCATTACGTTTAATTGAATTAGAAAATCGAGAATTAAATGAAAATAATTCACAACGTAATAAACAACCATCTGTTGCTACATTACTTCGTCTATCTAATCGTCGTAAGTTTATTAAGGATTTTATATAAAAAATTTTATTTCCATTCTTTTTCTTCTAGCAAATATACCTGTTGATGATTATTATCCTATATTTCTTGATATGGTACGAAATTTACTTGATGGTAATATGGATAGTTCTTCATATGAAGATTCATTACGTGAAATGTTTGGTATTCATGCTTATATTGCATTTACAATGGATAAAATTATTCAAAATTGTGTTCGACAAGTATAAATATTTAGAAAGAATTATATTATATTGACTAATTTCGTTTGTTTTTAGCTTCATGCTATTGTAACTGATGAATCATCAGATGCAATAATGCGTTTATATTCTCGTACTAATGGTACAGTTGGTCTCGTTGATAATCTTTACTCAACTGCACAACAAAATTCCGAAGCAGCTTATCAACGTGAAATGGAACCATATGCTGATGGAAATCGATTGTTTCGTATTTGTTCAGTAAGTTAATTTTATTTATTACAGATGAGAAATCCACCTCTTGCGTAATGAATATTTTTAGTTTAAAAATGATCGTCGTGTTGCAACTACTTTAATTGTGATTGATTCATCTGATGATGAAGATGATGAAAGAATATCTCAAAATTGGACGCGTTATGTTGAATCATATATACGTGATAATGAAGGTGATCATGATGAAGCAATAACTGCACGTATACGATCTAAATTACGAAAAAATCCTCGATTTTTACTTCGGTATGATTTATAAAATGAAAACGCAAAAAAATTATTTTATTATTATTTTTTTCTATTTAATAGAAATATTAAAAAACCAACAGATATGACTGATCGTTCATTAACAGAAGTAACAACAACAAATAATGATTATTGTCGTCTTGATACAAAAACTCTCAAACGAAAACCGTGTCATCGTGCTGGTTTCTATTTTTATAAACGAAATTCTTTACGTTCAACAAAACAAGTATAATTTCTATTTATACAATAATAATAAAACAAACATTGACAATTTTCTTCTTTTTTTACATTCAGAATCATAAACGATTGTCTACTCAACAATTCAATCATTTTTCAAAATACTATCAAGATTGGTCATCAAAACATACATCTGATAATGATACAGATCCATTCAATGATTTATGGCTTAAAACACATCGATCAATGAATAATAATACAGAACAAGAGCATTTAGATATTCAATCAAATTTAACAAATGATCTCACTCAACCACCCTATCGTCATTATCGACACTATCAGATTGTGAATACATAAAACAAAATATCAATAACAAAACTCACATGTTTATATTTTGCTTTTTCTTTTTCTTTTTTTCTTCTTTTTTTTTCGATCATGTGTTTGTGCATATTTTGTATTTTACCTCCAGTCATTGTTTGTATCATAGACATACCCATAATGTTTCTCTTCGATCTCGGTTTTCTTGTCGTATTATTATAACATATGTTTGTATATGATGGATTATATTAAACTATCAGAAACTTATATTTTATTTTCTTTATGTTATGAGTATTCATATTTCATTCCACCAATATTTCTTTTTCTTACAGAAATAGAATGAATAGCTTTCTTTCAACAACCTTACTGTAAATAAAGCAAAAATACTGTCTAACATTATGAATTCAACTCCTTCGATTATTCAAGTATAATCTTATATTATTACAATCAAATCAGAACAAAAAAAATACGATCAGTAGTCGTATTATAATAGATATTCAATAATATTTGTTAGTGATATTTTATTTAGAATAATTTTGAAGTATATCCCGAAAGATTACTAGAAGACAAGAATGTTCAATTATAAAGAAAACAGTATCTTTAATAATATTAATGTGGACGATAAGCACCACCACCAATACGTCCATCTTTATTTATATCAATATGTGTTACTTGTTCGATTTTACCAACAAGACCTATTGAAAAAGAAATAATATGATACTACATAATTTTCTTGATTAATATTTACCTCCGCCTGGTGTTGGTCTATGTCCAATAACACCGTCACGATTGAAATCAACATGGGTTGCTTGTTCGAGCTTGGAAGTTATACCTGGACCACCAATTTTTCCATCTCCATTTAAATCCATCCCAAGCGCTCCTTCGACTTTATTTACAAAATAATCTAAGAAATTTAGGTAAAAACATACCATAAAATAATTTATAAGAGACTTTCAATACTTACTACTCATATTTTTCTTTTCTTTTGACAATCAATGTGTTTACTTGTAAATGCGTTGAAAAAATTGTTTTGATACCGATAAAACCTATTCTTTTTATTCTCTTGAAAAGAAATATAATAAAAAGAGAAGGAGAGACAGAGAAAAAAAACATAAAGCGTTGGCGTACTGGCTGCACCCGATAATAAAAAATTGATTAACGGTATATAAATTCTTTCATTCTACCTTCTATATTTAACTTTCAAGTGTTAATTTACTTTATTTAAATACCATACTATTACAAAATAAATAGACGATATTTAAATCTCTTTTTTTCAATTGATCAAGTACTCAATGATTAATATTTCAATAATAAATAGAACATAAAAGTTGGAAATCTTTCGATAATATTATATTGACATATAAACGATAAGAATGTATACAACCTATGTGTAAAATGCTATACAGAACTATTATTTCGACATTATCAACATCGAATTAGAATGTATAGAATCTGTACTTTCATATGTAATTATGTTCAATTTGACTAAAATTAGTTAAGAAATAAATATCGTATTCTTAAGGAGTATTCAACTTTTTGTCCGAATCTAGACAAGTACAGTAACAATGCTGGAAAATAATAAACGAATTGAATTCATTTGTATTGTACATACAAAAAATATGAGAGAAATGACAATCGAAAATTCTATTGCAAAACATAAATAATCTTTCAAACAGTTCATCTGTACTAATCGGTACTATTTTAATAGTCGATCAAATACAAAAAATGTCAATTGTGTTATTTTTACATGTGCGATCATTATTGGTAATATCAAGCATTCAGTATATCATTATGACAGGTCTGATTTTTCTATAGATGTAGTTTATGTTACTTTAGCAGATGATTAATGTCTACGAGAAAAAACATGTGGGTGTAGAGAAGGTAGAAACAAAATTTGATTTTCAAAAAATTGTTCAATGTTGTGATTGAAGTTTAGATAGAATATATATATTTGATTTCTAATGTTGACTAGGAGTATTATTTCAAACTTTGTATGCAATAATTTATGATTAGTATTTGATTTTCGCAAATGTCTTTTTAAGGATAAATAGGTATATTATAAAGGTAGTGATTAATTCGAAAAACGTAAAAATACATGTTAGGGAAAAATTATAAGAATGACGAATATAATGACTCATTTTTCTGTTCTTGACTTTGCTTAATATGAGTTATTTTACTTTTCGCTACGTGATACTATAACGTCATTAACGATAAAAGAACACTTTCGCCGTTGTTTATCATAATTGTTACTACTTAATAATGTTGTGATTTATTCAAATCGAAATGCTTAAAAGAAAAACGTATGGTTGGTGTTGTTGGTAAGTATTATAACGATGATATTCTTATCTGAATAATAAATATTAACTTTTAACAGGTGTAGTGTACCACGTGTAGATGATCATCCATTGGCTGTTGTTCATCATCTTACACATCATCCACGTTATAAATCACAATCAGAAGATGCTCTTCTTAATTCATTTTCAACACAGGGTACTGGAACTGAAGATAATCCATTTATTGTTTATCGTGATCGACAATTAATTGGAAAAGAAAATTTGAAACATTTACGTCTTGTATGTGTATCAGATACTCATAATGATATTCATAAAATTCATATACCAAATGGTGATGTATTTATTCATTGCGGTGATGCTGTTAATTATAATACATGTTCCAATGATTTAAGGGTATTCAATGAATTTGTTGGTACACTTCCCCATAGACGTAAACTTTTTATTAGTGGTAATCATTGTGTTTGTCTTGATTCTAAACGACCAGATCGAAGTCAAAAATTATTGAGCAATATGATCTATTTACAAGATCAAGTCATTGATATTGAAGGTGTACGCATTTATGGTAGTCCATGGAAACCAAAACGTGGTTGTTTTTATCGAGCAGAAGCATTTAGTTATGATTCACAAGATATTCGTGGTGATAAATGGTCAAATATTCCCACTGATATTGATATTTTACTTACACATGTACCACCGTATAGTATTCGAGATTCTTATTCAGGTTGTCCAGGTTTATTAGATGAAGTTGTAACAAGAGTTCGACCACGCATTCATCTTTTTGGACATATGCATAAGTTCTATGGTGCTAGTTTATATAAAAGTGAAAATAATCAAAAAATTGAAGGTGATAAATTTAAATCCGAATCAAATGATATTCTATTTGTTAATCTTGCTATTCATCAAGGCAGAAAACTTAACGAAGCAGTCGTAATTGACTATTATTATTAGTTTTTTTTATTTTTAAAATAAATTTTTTTAAATAAAATCTTCATTCCAGCAGTGAATAATATGATATACTTTATTTTTTTTTTAATATAAATATTCATTATATTTATCTTATAACTTAAAGGCATACAAAATATTTGTTTTCTTTTTTAACAAAGTGCTCATTACAATATTCTATATTTTATTTTTATGATAAGTTATTCTAATTGGTTGAATAGGTGTCCATAGAAATGCAAGCCATATTATTTAACATTTGTTTCATTGAATACGACATGTACATATACGTCATTGAAAAAGAAAACAAGGTTTACTCCTTTTAGTTGAAGAAAAAGTAATCATTTTCTTTTTCATGATATTTTATGATATATATAGTTTTTTTTGAACATTCATTATTGTGTATTATTTTTATAAATATTAGCAAAAAACAAAATTTATCATTTTGAAAATGTTCAAAGCATCAACATATCTCTGGTGTTGTTGGTAAGGTTTTTATTTTCGATTATTCTCATCAAATTTGATATAGTTTACGTAGATGTCATGTACAACGTGTTCGAGGTCATCCAGCAGCTGCTCTTCATCATTTAACACATTTTCCACCTTATGAAGTTGATGAACAAGTTCTCCCATTCAGTCCAACACGTCATTATGGTACTGGAACCGAAGATGATCCATTTACTATTTACCGTGATCCACAATTAATTGGAAAAGACAATTTGAAACGTTTACGTTTTGTTTGTATTTCTGATACACATAATCAAATTCACAAAATTAAAATTCCAAATGGTGATGTTTTTGTGCATTGTGGTGATGCTGTTCGTTGGTCAAGTGCTGCTCGTGATATATTAGTATACAATGAATTTGTTGGTGCACTTCCACATAGACATAAACTCTTTATCGGTGGTAATCATTGTGTTTGTCTTGATCCAAAACGACCTGAACAAAGTCAAAAAATACTTAGCAATATGATTTATTTACAAGATTCAATGACTGATATTGAAGGTGTACAGATTTATGGTAGTCCATGGAGACCAAAACGTGGAATTATTTATCCAGCTGAAGCATTTGGTTATGATCCGGCACGTATACGAGAAGAAAAATGGTCGAATATTCCCGCTGATATCGATATTTTACTTACACATGGACCACCTTATAGTGTTCGTGACTATCATCCACTTACAGACGAACGAATAGGTGATCCCGGTTTATTAGATGAAGTTATAACAAGAGTTCGACCACGTATTCATCTTTTTGGACATATGCATAAATGTCGAGGTGCTAGTTTGTATAAAAGTGAAAATAATCAAGTCCTTGAAGGTGATCATTTCCAACCACAATCAAATGATATTCTATTTGTTAATCTTGCGATTCATCAAGGAAAAACTCTTGGTGAACCAGTAGTTATTGATTATTATTATTAAAAAAAAATATTGTAATTTTCTTTATACAAAAGATCTCATTAATTAATCAACAAAGTGCATTTCATTTTATTTTTTGAACATATATTAAAGTTTTATATATGCTTTCATAATACCATCATGATTAGAATACGTAAGTTAATACATTCGAATAAATACAAAAAAAGAAAACAAGAACAAGTAAATATCACGGTGAGCTTATTATCTATAGATATAAAAAAGAACAAACAAACAAAACAGCGTCTTATTGGTGTAAAAGAGAAGCTTGTAACGCTTCACGCATCATCGTTTCTTCATCTTGTTCATAATTCACATATGTATCTAAAATAATAAAAATTTATTTTTTAAAAAAAACTTTTTTCTTTCGAATTACCATAATCAAATCTATGACGACTTTTAATATGTTGATAGATATTAGATGATATCATATTTTTATCACCCCATGGCAGTGTTGAGCAGATTGGACTATACATAAATAAATGAAATTTAAATTTTAAATTAAATTAAAATTTACCAGACTCGACGTTGATCTTCATTTTTATGACGTTTCTTAATATGTTGACGAAGATGATTAAGAGTAAAACTAGATTCCAAAAATGAATTTTTTTTTAAATTAAATATTAGAATTTTTACTTTGCTCGTGGGCAAAATGGACATTGAAACGTTGAGCGATTTTCACCTTGTTGTGCTTTTTGTAAAGCTTTCGTTTGTGATTCAGATAAACGTTCAACTAGATTTGTAGATCTTGAATCTGTATTATGTCGTGTATAATTACTTCTCATAGGTATACATATTTCTAAATGTTTTCTTAATGCCGATAAAGTAAATACTATTGAACAATTTGGACATGATGTTTCAAATGTATCTAATTGATTTTCTAATTCACGATAACGTACATAACCCAATGATTCTTTTCGACAAATCGCACAAACAAAACATTGATTTGGTTGATGGACATGTGATGAATGACTAAAACTATCAATTCGCAAGGAAGACGTTGGTGTTGATTCAGATTCTGATGTTAAAGTAATGGGTTTTTTAAGACCAAGTACACAACTTTGACAATATGTATGTGGACACGATAGACTAACAGGTGAATGAAATATTTCACGACCTAAAAATAAATTTATAATAAATTGAAGTCAAATATTTTAATTAAATTACTTACAAATACTACAAGTAAAATCTTCTAAATTGATTGTCGTTGTATCCATTAATTTGATTGTTTACAAGAAGAAATAATAAATCTAAAATCCATTAGAAAAAAATATCTATATTTTCGGTTTCACTTGATTGATTATACCAATACAAAGAAAATCATTCAGGCATTCTTTTTTTCCTGTACTCTATTTTCTTGTTTTTGTCAATGTGAAAAATATTATTCAATAAAAATAAATCTTTTCAAATAATACTATCTATAAAATATACTCATTTGATATTTTTGATTGAATATTTGTATCGCTAAAAAAAAAGAGAAAATATTTAATTATATGTATTTTCATCACTTATTTTTTTTTCTTCCTTTTTTTTAAGTAATATTGATAGATAACTCTATATAGATACTAGTACATTGGACATATAATATGGATCTAGTATCTAGAAAATGCTGGAATTTTTCCGGTGGAAAAATTGTGATAAAAATCAATATTATAAGCGAATTAAAAACAAGAAAATTAATTTGAAAACTATATAGTAGTGTTAAGAATTCATTAGTTGGAATAACATGAAAATTTTATCATAACATTTATCATTAACTATACTTATATATTGTTTATGAGATATTTTTATCTAAATAAATAGAGTTTCTATTAAAAGTAAACCTATTAACAACAAGACAAACCTTTCGATAAGTAGTTTATATATGTGGAATACAAATAAGTACGGATGCAATTAAAACACCCTACTATTGAACATAATTTATGGAATGATTTAACTATTCATTTGAGTATAGAACTACGTTCCTATTATATATATATATATATATATATTTAGAAAAATAAATAAATATATAAAATCTTCATACTCCATTGCCTGTAATAGCATAAATTAAACCCCAACGAGATTATTGTACTTCATCATATTATATATGGATGGATTATATGATACAGCTGATAAAATAATTAATGAAGGATATTGGTATAGTATTCTAAATACAAAACAAGTATCTCAAAACATTCTAACTGTTGTGATATAATAACAAAGTAATGTGCGTCATAAATATTTCCCTATAAAACTACTGCTTACTTTCTTTTTTTCTTTCATCGCTGCTACGTAAATTGTCATCGATTCAGAAATTATATAAATAGATAAGACTTTTCTTCTTTTTTTAATATCTAAACAAACGTTTGTCAATGATGTTAATCTTTTTTATATTTTATTTCGTTTATATACTAACTTCAATAGTATGACAATATATTCATAAGTCTTATCTTGTCTAAATAAATATATATATATACTATATCGAGGATATATATTTCAACTGTTGCTATTATTTTTTGTCTTCTTGTTTATTATTATCATCGGAATATATCGAAAGAAAAATGACAGCCATGTATATTCATTTAGCTTTTGGACTATAGTGATGTTTTTTATGAAGAGAAAAGAAATAACTGAGCACTTAAGTAAAGAGTTTTTTTTTCTATATGAATTTTTATTAGACTAGATGATTACTGAAAAAAAAATATAACAAAGACAAAAGATTTTTTTTTTCTTTATCTCTATATCTCTTTTTCTCTATTTAGAAATTTTGACGATAGATTATTCTTTTTACTGCTACATAAACAGGAATAAAAAGATAGATAGATATATATATATATATAAATATAAACAATTTTATATTTCTAATGACCTTCAATGAAAGCAAATGATTCCTTTGATGATAATTGGTTAATTATTCCAGTAAATTTCAATCAAAAATTAGTTAGATCATATTACTGGCCAGCATTATTTTTATTATTCTTTTCAATTATTGGTATTATTGGAAATTTATTAGTTTGTCTTGCGATTGGAACTGAACGACGTTTACATAATCCAACGAATTGGTATATTTTTTCATTAGCACTTGCTGATATGTTGATTTCAGGAATTGTTATTCCATTAGCTACTGTTAAAGAATTTACAGGTAAAAACAAATCTATTCTGTTATTAACTAATACAAAAAAAAACAAAATTTATTGATTTAGGTTTTTGGATATTTGGTCCAATTTTATGCGATTTTTGGTTATTTTTGGATGTTTGTTCATGTACATCATCTATCATGCATATTGTTGTTATATCAATTGATCGTTATTTAGCAATAGAAGATCCACTAAATGTTCGTTTACGACAAAAAAAATATCAAATATGTTTTTGTATAATAGTTATATGGTTAATAGCTATATTATTATCATCACCAATGATTATACTTGGTGCAATTAATCCATATAATATTATAATTAATGGACAATGTTTAATCAATAATCAATTTTTTGTTATATATGGTAGTGTTGTTTCATTTGTTATTCCATTGATTATTGTTATTATTATGTATACTTTAACTGTACGTCGTTTAAAAAAACAAATAAAACAATGTCAAACACATTTTGCTCAAGAACAAATAACGAATACAGTTAATCTTGTTGCTAAACCATTTTTACGACAAAAAACAAACGCAACAACAAGTAATAATCAATTAAATATTTCATCTCAATCATTAACAATTCCATCAATAGAATTAAAACGTAGACGTTTTCAACGACAAGAAACAAGTTTTGATTTAAGTGAAGATAGTTTCAATAATATATGTTTAGATAAAGATAAATATCCATCATTAGCAAATGATCTTCAAAATGATAAATCATCTATTCATAGTGATTATACATGTCCACGAAATTCAAATTGTCTTGAAGATGATGAAACAACAAATCTTCATTTAACTTCATCTCATCAAGCTCGTCCAATGTCATTATCAGTACCAATGATTTCTCATCATCCATCATTAACTTCAATTAATCAAGTAAAACGACATAAAGATCGTTTAGTTCTTATTCCAAGTTTAGGAACAACACGTTCAAAATCTTCAGCTGTACGTAATGAACAAAAAGCTGTCAAAGTTCTTGGTGTTGTTTTTGTTATATTTGTAATCGCATGGTTTCCATTTTGTATTATGAATATTTTACGTGGTGTTTGTAAACATTGTTCAATTAATGAAAATTTATTAAATAGTTTTGTTTGGCTTGGTTATGTGTCAGCATCAATTAATCCAGTTGTTTATACAATGTTCAATCGAAATTTTCGTTTAAAATTTATTGCATTACTTAAATGTCATTGTTTATATTCACGTGATCAACAAAAACGATTATTATATTATCAAAGTCATTCATCATTACATGGTTCAAGAATTTTACGTAAAAATGGTTTAGTACAAAATGATATTCGACGTTTTAATGCACATAGATAAACAAGTGTAACTAAACTACCATAAATAGCTGTTTTTTTTATTTAATACAACGGAAATGGATATATAAGTGTGTCGTATAAGTACATAGAACTTAGACAAAAGTAGCGAAATCGTCTGAATAATAATAATAGAGAAATAAAAAAACAAAAAAAAAACTTTTAACGGATGTATAATAATAATAAAAATCGTCATCGTCAGTATATATTTTCATATTGTTTGTCATTCAACAGTCGGTTTGTACTTTTCTTCCTTTCAATGATGAAAATAGACATTAACACATGTATAAAGATAAATCATATGGTATATTTATAGCATCGTCCAACGCATCTTTTTATCATGTCAATATATGATTACGTATCAGAATAAAAACTAGGTAATAGTACTATATATATGTGCGATTTCTATTCATCTTATACTCATAAAGTTTTATAATATATAACAAAAAAAATACTTTATCGTCTTACCGAATTATACAAAACTCCAGCAGTTGACTATCGGACATTATCATTCATCTAAATATTAATAAATTCCTTCTAATTATTAAAAAATTTATTATCAAAAACTTACAGTATATTTTCGATTAATAAATTGTATTTAAATAAATCATAAATATTATGTTTTTTCCTGTTACTTGAAAATTGTAAAAACGTTTTTCCTGTATTTCCTAATAGGTATTATTAATAATTATAATACTACAAGATAACATGAATGTAAGGAAGTAAAATGATTTTTTATTTAAAATTTTTGATGAATAAGTTCATTGAACCAATAACAAAATCAATCATAAGTATATGACATCCATAGAAAATCATTGATGATAGATGGCGTTATTATTACTACGCGCTTGAAAGTAATTTTATAAGCACTTTGTAAGTTATTTAGATGATTATGTTTATTGAACTTTATATTAGATTATACATCATTTAAATCATTCACATAAAGTATGACACATTACAATACAATAAATAAAAAACAATATTTAAAATTATGATATTTCTGTTTGTATTTGATTATTATTTATTGTTAGACGGCAACATTGTGTGACATGAATTGTAGATAAAACATAGAGAAATTGTTGACGAAATCGTTTTGATACACTAACATAAATATAAAATGAACCCTATAAATATAAAACAAATTAGTAGTTTTTTTTTTGCATAAATATATTCCAATAAGATTAGTAGTTTACCGCATAATGAAAGTAATACAAGATTATACCTAATACACTAATTGAGTTTAGTTGTGCTGCTAATAACGAATTACTTGTAGAGCCATAAATAGTCATAATTATATTAATAAACACGGATGGTGTAACAACAATAGCATCATAAAAGATTTGTACAAGGACCATAGTAGTTAATTGTTTGTCCAATTCTCGTCGAACTAATGGAATTGTTCGAAAAGCTATTTGTTGAACATTTCTATATGCCAAAATTCCAAATAAAATCATAATACTAATAGGTAAAGTACTTTGTAGAACAGGTACATAAAAATAATAATAATATTTTCGAAAAGCAGTATTCATAATTATACAATTGTTTTCACCGGTTGTTGGTGATGAAATATGACCATAAGAGAATATACTTGGAATTCCATGTAATATAGCAGCTAGAGTAACTACTATCAATATATAACGAGCTAATTTAATATTAGATAATCGTTGCCAACGAATATAAGAACAAGTAGCGAAAAATTGATCAATAGTTGCCAAACACATACATGAAAAAGAAATTAATGTACATAATTGTACATAAAATGGACGAAATTTACAATAAAATAATGACATATTTAACCAATTAATTCCAAAACCATTAATCATAATATAAGTAAATAAACCAGTAAATAAATGAAAAGTATTAACTAATGACATAATAGTTAAATAGAATGCACATGATTTTTGTCGAAAAGTTCGAAGACTAAGAAATACAAGTAGAGTTAATAGTCCACTTATAAGACCAGCTATAAAGAGAAATAAACCTATATAAATAACCACCTGTTGACAAATATATTGAAAAATTGATTGAGTAGCCATGAATACTTTGTGACTTTCAATGATTCACTTTTTTACGATAATGATATACTAAATCTTTTCTTTTCTGTCATATATCCAGCTTATGTTAGATTTTTTAAATAGAAAAAAAAATAATATGCTATTATAAATTGTACTAATGATCTATTTCATTCACGTGCATTTTGATAATCTTAATAATAATAAAAATCAAGAAATGAATGAATCCTATATGAAATAAACTAAAATCAAGTGTAAAATGTAATAATGACAATTAAAATCTGCTGGAAAATGAACAGTTTTATGATTAGAAACAAATAATGTACTCTCGCTACATTTATATAGTGTTCATTAGTATGACTCGTGATAAACGTTGCTTTCGTGCGTATAAATACTTTTTTAATGCGATATCTTAGAGAATGAAATCTAATTTTAGTTTTTTTTAATTAAGGTTAGGATAATTCAAAAGTCAAGTATTTTATGTCAAAAAAACTTGTTGTGTATATGTTAAGAACTCGAAACCTCCTTTTCTTTTTTTGAGATATGAAAGTTACATATAATTTAAGTGGTCAGTTATTAAAATAATTAGGTTTATCAATATGTTTAAAAATCAACAAATTAAATGAAATGGTTAGCATAGAAATCGATATATGTTAAAGTGTGACTCACTTTCTTTTCTTCATATCAGGGTATTTTTCAAACATTTTTTCTTTTGATACGGTTCAAATATTTTTCCTTCTTATCACGGTTTCTTCCAAGTATCGTTGATTCACCCCTAAGTTGCTCGTATATATACAGTTATCTTTTAGGGGATGAGTGTAAGCATGTTTGTGCATAACGAATAGACACCCACACCCACTCACCCTCATGATCCGTATTATTGGCTATTTGTTTTTTTTTTGTCTCAAAAATATCCCCGCATTGAATATATAAAGTTATTCTCTTGATCGATGTTTACATAGAGGAAAAAAAGAAAAGATAAATATGCAGATAATGATAGTGTGCGTGTTTTACCTTGTCACGTTGTTTTCTTTTTCTATCAATTGAAGTAGAATATGGCTCGTTATTTCTTATTTTTTGTTACGATTACTTTTATTTTAATCGTTTCAAATGATTGCTTATCACCAATTATTTTCATTCCAGGAAGTTTTTGCAGCTTGCTTGAAGTACGTATAAATACAACGTTACAACCAAGTTGTCCTCAATCATTAGATAATAAATGGATACTTCTTTGGTTAAATCTTCGTTTATTCGAGCCAAGTTATTTATCTTGTTATCATAATATATTCAGATTTAATTATAATTCTTCATCAAATTCATTTGAAAATCCACTTGGTGTTGAAACACGTATTATTGTAAATTCAATAAATGGATCATTTCTCGATGGTCTTCTTTGGGAATATATTCAACTGGATAAATTTCTTTTTCATTTTGTTACAAAACATAAATATATCGATGGTCAAAATATGCATTCAGTTCCATATGATTTTCGACGTGGAACAAATAAAACATTATTTGTATTTAATAATGATTTAAAAGAATTAATTGAATCAACATATATTCGAAATATGAATAAAAGTGTTTATTTAATTAGTCATAGTACAGGTGGTTCAATGGTTTTATATTTTCTTTCTCAACAATTACAAACATGGAAAAATCAATATATTAATAGTTGGATATCTTTAAGTGGAAATATTGCAGGTGAAGTTGATAATATTGAAAATTTAGTTCAAGGTTTTCTTTCACCCATTGTATCACGTGAGGTTATTCAATCATGGGATTTTTTTGCTTGGCGTCTACCTGAACCAATGATATATGGATCAGAACGAATTATTGTAAAAACACCTTCACGAAATTATACATCATATGATATGTTAGATTTTTTACATGATATAAATGCTAAAGAACTTTCTCTTATTTATTCTCAAGTATCATCAATTTTAGCATCATTACCAGAACCAAATGTTAATACATATTGTTTTTATGGAGTAAATATTTCAACACCAATAGGTTATATATCAAAATCAGATCGATTTGAAGATAATAAATTAGAAACTATTCGTGGATGGGGTGATGGAGAACAAGATGATACAACAAATATGTCATGTCAATTATGGAATAAAACAATGGATAAAAAATATAAATTCATTTCAAAAGGATTTCATCGAATCAGTCATACAGAACTTGTTGGAAATGATAAAGTTTTAGAAGAAATTGATCAAATTATTTTTTCATAGAAATAATTAAATAAAATATAAAGAAAAGTTTTATTGAATGCTTTTTTCTAATTTTAGATCAACTGATGATATCTATTTAGACATAAAAAAAACATTAGAAAGATTAATCGTACATCTGAATTCAATTTACATCCTAATACATAGTTTTGAATCGACGAACTAATCGATTCTATTTCAAATAATAATCATCATTTCATTATAATATAGATTCATTCATGAATATTGATAAAGAAATCTCTGATGATATATCTTACATATTATCTAGTTTAAGATATTATTGACCAATATATTCAATTGTTATTTTTAATCTTTTACACTTAGGAAATTTATTTATTTCTACATTTAGTTAATTCATACTGTCATAATTTGATATACTCATATTGATTGATAGCAAATCTAAACCAACATTCACTTATGGATCACAACGGTGGATCATCAAAACGAAAGATCTTTCAGGAGTTCTGCACTACAACACTAAAATCATATTAGAAGCATGATAGTAAACGATAGTAACCAACTGAAGCAAGAATGACTTTATAATATAAACAATTGTCTTCTGGTTATATGGTATGATTGTGCGCTTGTTATTTTTGTCTCTCAATAACACTTTCAATAATTGTACAAGTATCGGATGCTTTTACTTTCATGTTTTGCTATACCCTATATCGATTATCAAAAGTATTTCATCACAAAATGTTCCAGATGTAAAAATTATTATGAAATTATCAACTTTCCTTTTAGCTTGACGAACGTAGGATGAAATTCTTAAAATATAGTACCAGTCTGTTTCTGAACATTTTAATTTATTCAATCGCTTTTATTCGTCAAGGTTACTTTCATAAAAGCCCTTTATGTAGATGATTTCTCTTGTCCAACTATCAGATTTAAAATTATATAGCTCTGTTTTATTTTGTATTGGTCAAGTAATAATCATTATGAAGTTACTTGGAAATTTTTTGTGAGCGATTCTCTTCAGATAAGTCGAAGTTACAACATTTTTGTAATACAATATTTTTTATTTCTACCTGTTATTTCAATATCGTTTGAAAAAAATCTTTCGTCTGCATTTTTTTATCAACAGAAGGATGAAGTGCATGTCCCTATCCTTTAGTAACTGTTATGAACAATCAAATGATTTTATGTTGGTTTTTACTGTTGCTTGGTTGATCGAAATATAAATTCATTTTTCGTTCTTTTTCTTACAAAAAAGCGAAAAAAACAGAATTAGGGTGTGGATGTGGTGTAGCTTCGTCTTTTTTTACCCACACCCACCCAAAATTAGATTAGAAATACGTTTTCTGATGATATTATTTTACAGTTTTTCTATTGTTAATACTGATAAAAAATAAGTCCATATATCTTATTTTTGCGTTGACAATTCTAGATCTAAAATCTTTTTATCTTATATATATTTCAAAACGTTGGTATCGACCACATCCTTTTAACAATTATAATACATAAGGTAAGCAGATTCTTTACTTTGATCAATGTTCATAAATGACATACTACTGTATTATATTCATAGAAATGGCAAAATCAAATCAATGTTCTACCTGTCAAAAGCCAACAGGAGTGATGCATTGCACAGGTTGTGATGGTTACTTCTGCACAAAGGATTTCAAAGGTCACCGTGAAATATTATTTACTGAAATGGAACAACTCGTTGAAGAGCGTAATAAACTACAAGAGAAAATCAACAGGGCATCAAAACCAAACAGCTCAAGCAATCCACTTATTGAAGAAATCAATGCATGGGAGAAGATGACAATTGAAAAAGTGCGACAAACAGCTGAACATGTGCGTCAGCAGGCTAATCAGCTGATAAATTCAAAATCTATGAAAATTACAAATGAAGTCAAAGGCTTCTCAGATGAATTAGCGGATTTGAAAGAAACTGAGAACTATGTTGAACATGATTTAATAAGACTTAAAGAAAAGATTGATCAATTTAATGTAGAATTGACTCAACTTTCTCAAAAAACCATAATTGAACTCAATAAAGAAGAAAGTGAAAAAATAAAATGGAATCATATTATCTACATTCAAGAAAAACCTATCGAAGTTGAACGTCAGCAAACACCAACAACAATAAAAAAAGGTATTTTTCTGACGTCCAAGTTGAATATATTTTCAGTATGATATTTTTCAAAAACATTGCATCGAGATGCAGAGAATTTAAATCGTACTTCATGCAGTGATAATAAAACTGACAAGACACTTCAGTTGAACATCTAAAATATAAATCAGAAATTGATTAATAATCATATACATATACAACATTTATTTTTCTTCAGTAATCGTTTTGCATATTACACAGAACAGAACAAGAACCACTTACGAAGTTTATATATACTAAATATCGCTAAATCTATGTCACATCGAAATAACAAATAAGGTTTAGATCGATTAGTTTCGTTGTTATCAATATGTTTTCTACATATAAATTGATGATATTTTTGATTATATTTACAAGTGGAAGAAATATCAATTGATATATTTTTAGTCTTTCCAATCGCACTACTCAATTCAATGTTCTTTTTTATTTTTTATTTTTTTATTCGAGTATTTTACAAACTATTATGTTTTTATATCAACTATAAAACAGTATTTCTCTGATCTTAGTCGTCGATTGTGTTAATTAGGTCTCCTAAGAGAAAGAGAAATAGGCCAAAGTCATAGATAGTAGAGATTGTTTAGAATAACGAGAGACGGACTACAGTAAGATTTGAATGAATGTAAACAAGTGAACATTTAATTACTAAAGATTTGACTTGAGTTATTGAACATCATCAAATACAGTGAGGTGGGGGAATTCGGATCAGAGGTACCAAGAAATCACCTTGTTTATCTTCGTTCTCCTCTATTATACATCGTATAGAAGAAATTTTTTTTAAGAGAAGTAGAGTGAGATGTTCTCTATCAAATCACGAAAGAATTACCAAAAAATCATTTACTATACAAAAGTATCATGAAAAATACTAAAAGCAACTTTGAGATGATCCGAGTTACCCCAAATGGGGTAATTCGGATCATCTAGGTAATCAAGGTGGGGTAATTCGGATAATTCCAGCAAAAACATCAGTAGTATTTTCCCCCATCTCATAACTCATTTTTTATCCATCTTCGAAAAATTACTAAATATACCATTCGATAGCTCAAAGTGTCTACTATGGGACCTGAAAATATTTCGATGATTCAATGAAACGTTGATGATGAAATATTCGCTACATTAACACCTCCCTTCAGTACTTTTTAAAAACTGAAATTGGATTCAGGGTAATTCGGATCATCTAAGCAATTCATCCGGGGTAATTCGGATCACTAACGCTGTCTTTTCATGCTGATTTTTAATCTAATTCTAACTTTATAGCAAAATAATTACCATATTCGGAATCAGCACAAAAAACTACTCGAGAACATATACATTTCAGCAAAAAACATTTTTTATGAAAAACAGCTGATGTCTCCCCCAAGGAATTTTTTCGCAATATTGGGCTGAGGTCGCCTCCAGGATGTTTTAAATCAGCATGAAAAGACAGCGTTAGTGATCCGAATTACCCCAGGTAAAATAGCTAGAGTGATCCGAATTACCCCACCTTGATTACCTAGATGATCCGAATTACCCCATTTGGGGTAACTCGGATCATCTCAAAGTTGCTTTTAGTATTTTTCATGATACTTTTGTATAGTAAATGATTTTTTGGTAATTCTTTCGTGATTTGATAGAGAACATCTCACTCTACTTCTCTTAAAAAAAATTTCTTCTATACGATGTATAATAGAGGAGAACGAAGATAAACAAGGTGATTTCTTGGTACCTCTGATCCGAATTCCCCCACCTCACTGTATTGAGTGTACGATGAGTCAATCTCAACAGTTCTACATAATCTTTAGAAAATCTTTGTTATTGATTAGTAAATTCATCTATACAGAAAAGAGTATGACATCTTTTTGTTCTACTAACAAAACGACCGATGATAACTCTTAAATGAATCCAATGGATTTTTTCATTTCTATGAGCTAAAATCGAATAGTTTGATCTCACCTCCTTAATAGCTCAGTCAGCCAATTGTAAAAGAATTTATAAATAAATTATATTGTTTCGGAGTAGAGAAATATGCAGTCTTGTTGTATTTTTTAAGTTTTAATAAATTATACATTTTCATTCAGGAAGTGCACGAGCAACAACATCATCTCTTCAAAAACAACCTGATTGTGGTGGTCGAGCTTGTGCACGATGTGGTAAATGTACTGACTGGTATCTTAACAATAATAAGTCACGTTATTTCCATCATGATGGTGCCACTTGCAGTCATGCTATTAATGATCCTCATGATCATTCTTATCATCCTTCTGAAGGTTTTTCTATTTATGCTGCTATTGCTGTTAGTCATCTCTGCAAATGCAAGTAGGCTGTAGTAGATGAGGACTGGGGGCTGTAGTGTCATTATTTGATGGACTGAATAATATGTTTTTTATTGCTTGATATTGGAAAAATAAAGAAGGTAATATATAAAGTTGTTTTCAATATTAGGAAATGTTAACATTTGTTCGAAAGAAAAAAGAAGCAGCTTGTGAAAAGCGTTTCGGTGTAGCAATTCTTATAATGTTTGTAACGGAAAAGCATGTTGTGGGAAAAGTGATGTAAAATGGCTATGTATGAATTTAATTTGATGATTGTAGCTTCGGAGAAAATATTCAAGTCGTTAATTTGTAGTTATGGCTTATCCAGTGATTTAATGGTATTGAACCGGTAGGGATATGTATAACAGATGTCATGTAATCGTATGGTGCAGTTCGCGGAAACGACAAGGAGTTTTCGAATACTAAAAACGTAGGAATAGCTGATTAGTTTTAGTATGGATATATGAATATGAACAGACAAGTATATGTGACTTATCGATGATTTATTTTTGTTTGCTTCGACGGAAAGAATTTTCTATAAATTTTAGATCTACTTGGCCCACCTCAGAGATTTTCCCATTGTAAGGTCTCTAACTATCCTCAAATGAATACATGGCGATGCAATGAAGTTTGAAAGATCTCGGTATTTTGTATTTTCCAAATATTTTCATTGAAATGATGTTTCTGAGATAACAAAACTTAAGCTTTTAATAGAAGATGTAGTAGGTCCCTTGTACTACCTAGATCAACGTTTGAATTAAACCAATACCTATTGTTGTAAGAAAACAATCGTATTCTCTTAAACGTGAGGGTGTAACGGTGATTTTAGAAAAAGATAAAACCTACCGACACTCACACCCTTCTCTAATTCGTTTTATAATATATATATTTCGTGTGTGTATGCCAGTACTTGTTATGCATTTTGACTTTTATGATAAAAGAAAACAAATGAATAAAGTCTTAATATAGTAATAAGTTCTTTGAAAGTCAAACTTTATCATACGTGTAAAACTCGAGCATTCCACTCGAGTATTAAACTCGACTCGAATATTAAACTCGACTCGAGTATTAAATTTTACAATTCGAGTACTCGACTATTCAACTATTAAACTTCTAAAAGTTTATTATTCGAGTACTCGACTATTCAACTATTCGAGCTTAAAAATGTCCTCTCTTAGAAAGTACCAAGCTTTCCCCTCCACCCACACCCAGATCCTAGCTCAGTGTGGGTGTAGGAGAAGGTGCGAGCGGTATGCGGAGGGGGGGGGAGATCTTAATGTGGGTGTACGGGAAGGTGTGAGCGGTAGGGAGAGGGGGAACAGCATAATGTGGGTGTAGGGAAGGTGCGAGCGGTATGGGGAGCGGGAAAGAGCTCAATGTGGGTGTAGGGGAAGGTGTGAGCGGTAGGGTGAGTGGGGAAGAGCTTAGTGTGGGTGGAGGGGAAACCTTGGTATTTTTCAAGTGGTTATAGTCTTAAGGACGAGCAGTGTTATAGTCGAGTACCTGAATAATAAACTTTTAGAAGTTTAATAGTTGAATAGTCGAGTACTCGAATTATAAATATTTAGAAGTTTAATAGTTGAATACTCGAGTACTCGAATTATAAATATTTAGAAGTTTAATAGTTGAATACTCGAGTACTCAAATAATAAACTTTTAGAAGTTTAATAGTTGAATAGTCGAGTACTCGAGTTATAAAATTTTAGAAGTTTAAAACTCGAGTAAAAGTTTAATAGTTGGTACGAATTAACGATTTCTACACTACTGAACTTTATTGACTTCTAATTATTATATAAGATAGAATATTTTTCAAATTAGTTAAGAACACCATATATAACATAGCCATCTCTCATCTACACCCTCAAGAAGAAAATCAAATGACACAAAAAAATAATATTGATTTTATTTATTTTACTTAAACAGTACAATAACGCATATAGGACATGGATGGATTAACAAGATCATAGACATAAAAGGAACCACAATTTGTTACTGATATTATATTGGCATAATAACATGAAGATGCACTATTTGCATAACACACTGTGCCATTAACCGTTCCACCAGGCGAAGGTAGTGAGCCCGCGTACCAACCAGAATATTGTGCAGTACAATGATATTGACCCGGCGATGATGTTGTTATTTGAGTGCCACCTGCACCAGAGAAACGAATCCAGGTGCCGGTTGAAAACGAACTATAATCGCTTGTCAATCCATTTCCGGCTGTTGCCAGACGTGTTACATCATTGATGGTTGTATACGAATAACATTGTGCTGCTGTAGACGTTGTTGTCGTAGTAGCTAAATATGAAGTTTTATATTTAAAGTAAATGAGATAACTAATTTTCTCTTTCAAATTGAAGACAAAAGCTGTTAGTACAATTCCTACAGAATTAGAATGTAAAACATGAAGAACTTTCGTATATTGTAACTTAAAAATTCTATATCATATGATTCGATTTGTCAATTCTACAGTACTGCTAA